AAAGAGAAGAGACAATTGGCCCTTCACTTTCAACAATCACATACGGAAACTAATAATGAGTATTTGAAGGAAAAAAAATAAATGATTCCTTGCACCTAATATCTTCAACCTTTGCCAGTTGCCACCCATCACAAATCTTATGCAATAAAAATAAAAGATATAGAGTTAAGACGAGACTATTCTTTCCTTGAAAAAGTAGTTCGGTGTAACACGTTCACGGTGGCTTAGCAAATAGCGATGAACCTATGGGTGGAGCCACTCATGTCTCATGGGCTGGGCTCCAGCCCTATATTACCCCCCACGTATAATTTTGGTTAAATATCGCCTCATATAATTTTATACTTAGCCCACTCATTTATTTGAATCAGCCCAACAACAAAAGCCCAAAAGAATTAAAAAACCAAAACACATTTTATCCCTAAAGGACCAAACACATGTTGTCATGCCCAATATAAAAGAGTTCATATCACAACTCATTTCATTATATTAGACATGTTAAAACGGGCTTAAGTCCGTTGGCCGCTCCGCCCGCCAAAAGAGTGGGCCGGGCTAGATTTTGGTAGCCCGCCAAACAGTGGGCCTAAACGGGCTAGCCAACTCGGGCCGCGGGTTTTGGCGGGTCGGGCTAGCCCGCCTTAAAAGTAATAAATATATAAATGATAATTAAATAAAATGAGACCCAGCAAATATCAATCCCAAATTCTGCACTTTCACGGCGACAACAAATATCAATCCCAAATATCAATACTCGACGCCCTCTACTCGCCGTCCTCGACCGGATCTGGCAGTTGAGACGATTTTAATAACCAAAACATATACAGAAATTTCATTTTTTTTTGTGCTGGAATCGGGAAATGAGCNGGGAAATGAAGGGAAAAAAAAAGAGAGAAGAGGATGAGAGAGAAAGTAAAAGAAGATAAAAGGGATGCGGGAGAAAAATGAAAATGGGGAGCGGCCAAAAGCAGAAGAGAGAAAAAGGGAAAAGAAAAAAACTGGGCTCAGAGAGTAAAAAAACGTGGGAGGAAAATAAGTGGGCTGTGCGAGAGCTCCAGGCCCATTTTTTTTATACGTATTGTCGCGGGCCAACCCACCTAGCCCGTGGCCCGTGGTGGGGATGGGCCGGGCTGGCCATTTAAAGGCCCGCCCCGCCCCGCCAAAAGCAGGTTTTGACTGGTTGCGGGCCAGCCTGCCCCGCCGACCCGTTTTGACATATCTAATTATACCAATTATGACATAACGGATCACTCGAACGAAGCGAAGCGAAGTTCAGTCAAGAATGCTTTGAAGAGAATAATGTTTAGTCTATCTCAAGTTGCATATCCAGCTATTTTCCTAAGGTCAATAAAACATAATTGCACTTAACTAATATAAAATGCAATTGTTTTATCATAACTAACTCACAAAATAGGCGGGAAACTTTTGTTTTGCATTAATTGGATAACCTACCATTATATATACTAGTATGTGACCCGCGCGATGCGCGGCTTGATATTAAAAATAGTGTAAATGAGTGATAATTTAATAGAAAAATATTTTGAAAAGCATCAATTGATATAATGTAAGATAAATTTTTTATTCATCCATTTAAAAGTACTTCCACAAATATAGCATTAATAGTAGATGAACTGTGTCGTTATCACTAACTGTAATAACAATAATTAGTAAACATGGATCGTGACTCTAGAAACAATAACAATGAAAAAAAAATTATAAAATCCAATATAGTTTTTTTCTTAAATGTTTTAAAATTAAATTCTTAAGCGTACAAAAATATGTGATATACCATGAAAAAAATTATTTGTCACATTAATGACACTCTTTCAAAATTTTTTCATAAAACTGTATATGTGATAACATAATTTTCATAGTTCAAAAAAGAAAACAAAGTCATAATTACTATTCTGCAAATAAACTTATATTAAATAATTAACGTTAACATGTATGAAAATGAGCAAATTAAAATTTATAAATACAAATTAAATACTTAAGAACAAATTAACTTCTATCTGCATGTATTTATTTTTAAACTAAGTCTACAAATTTTTCACTTTTTTTATTAACAAAATAAATCTCAACATTTTATTTCTTTATTTTTTTTTTGGCAAAATAAGTGCGATGGTGGTTAGAGAATGATGTGAAAGATTGATCATTTTTCATAAAGT